ATATATACTTTTTTCTTGACAGTGAACTGATTTACCTCTGTGTTCACATGATCTGTCCTTGTTGTCCCCTAACTACTGGAATGACAACACTCCTGAGAAGGTTTAAAAAAGTACATTCTGACCTCTTCTCATTAACCCATTTAATTGCCCCAACATTACTCAGACTGGATGCAGCCTAAATGTCCTAAATCAATCATGATCAACACAAATGTTACGCCCATTTATATTTTGGTTCACTTTTACCATTCAAGGTCAGAGGGTGCTGGAATATATAATATATATTTCACATAGTCATACTGTAAGTATACTCCTAGAGTATATAAATATATATATACACACACACACATATATATATACATACATACATACATATGTGTGCTTCTTATACATGAGCCAAAAATAGCATCATGATACTGGCCTTTGCACACTTACATCTGGATGTACTTGTAGCCTGACATGACCTCATTTGTAACAACATAAAAACAGTTTCTTCCTCTGGGTCTGGGCCATCACAGTGGATGATGACAAAATTGTTCCAAGACTGAAACACTCTCTCTTTTCTCCCCCTTGTATTTTTAACTTCCCTGTGGGGAAATATGTGTAACCTGCCTGGTACCTTAACCGATTGAAAATTATGTAAAGTTATCTAAAATACTCACCATGGTATTCTTTGGTTTAGAGTTGTTATTTAATTTGGAAATGGACAAGTTTTTGGAGAAAGGTGCATGGATATTGAGAACAGTGAATTGTCCTACAGAAGCTGTGTCCTGACCACGCGGCACCTCAGTGAAAACCAGAGAAAGGAAAGTTTTCCCTGCTCCCTACATCAAGTCAGCATGTGTGTGTGTGTCCGTGTGTTTGACGATGCTTTTGACCTCAAAGCAAAAACAGGAAAGGTGCTACAGGGACGCATGTTTTGCCCATGTCAATCACTTGACCACTTAGAAATCCATGTTTGTGTCCTTGTGCATGTCTATGTGAGTGTGTGCGTGCGTGTGTGATTGAGAGACTGCGCTGAGGGTTTTTGTGTAATCGTGCTGAGCATTGAAGCGTGTCGGGAGAAAGGACATGTCCTCAGCTCTGATCACATAGTCTACTACAACCACAGTGGTGAGGGGAGGGGTGGGAGGGGGGAGGGTGGGGGTTAGGATAGAAGAAAGGGAGTTGAAAACATGAAATGAACGGATGATGAAAGGATGACGGACAAAAAGTGGAGCAGAGCAGGGGAGGACAACACAGGAGGGAGGACAAGACAAAGGTTTCAAAGGAAGTGGGTGAGAAAATGATGGATAGCAGAGTGGACAGAGGGAGGCAGAAAAAAGTAAATGAATGATGGGAAGGGGCAAATGAGTGATTGGGGAGAGGGAGACAGAGCAGGATTAACAGAAGTGAACAGAGATGAAAGTGTAAAAATGGGAAGATGGACTTGAAAAAAAGCTTCGGGGTTGGTTTAATCCCTCACTGCCTTCCCTCCCTCTCCCCTTCTGTTCCTCTCTTCCTCCTCTACCGTCATTCCGCCCTCTATCTGTTTTCACAGATATCTTGACTCGTACATGCAGCACTGGCTGTCTTTTCTTGGTGGTCTAAAGAAAAGTGAGCCCTGCTCAGATGTATCCCGCCCCTCAGCCTTGGCTGCCTAATTGCAGAGGTATCACTGTGTCAAATGACTAATAGAGTTTCCTTTCTCGCCACTGAGCTGCCAACCAGCGCACAGCAGCCACTTGTTTACTCCTCACTGAAGCAAGGCTATCCAAAGATGCAGCGACCCCTTCTTTCCTCCTCAACATGATTCCACGCCGCACTGCTGCCTTACCGAAGCACACGTTTACACAGATTCCACACTGTTTGTTTTTATTTCTCTTCACTATTGAACTTCCTCTCTGTCGATTCTACACCTGATGGTTAGAACTACAATATTGCCTCAGATTATAACTTGAAAGTGTTTTATTTTTTCACATATTCCTGATTAAATAGCAAATAAAATACAAAGCTGCTGCACAAGAACTAAATCCAGACTCTGCACCATTAGGTTCCTCTGCACCTCCTGGTTGGCTCCTTATCAAAGCCAGTGGGCTCATCAAATTGGTGCTGACATATGAACTAACTTTGGCTGATTTGGGATCTGTTTGGTTATTCACCCAATCAGTGGTGTTAGTGGGAAGCAGCGCTGGTCCTTGACCGTCTTTTGAAGTCTCACACAGCATTTTGTTACATTGTCATACGCTGTAGTTCGTATTTCGGAGGATTGTAATTTACCTTACATCAATACAATTCCTTTATCGCCAATTAAATATGATCTATGTAACCTATAAATGTTTCTAAACTAACTCAAATAGTTGCAATTAACTACAAAAAATGTTTTTACACAGAAATCCAAAATTTGAATTAAAAAAAATAACAGAAAAATATTTTTTTTAGAATCGTAAAATGTATTTTGAATGATTTTATATTTTTCTTTTAAGTACACTCCCAAGCTGTAGTGTAAATTATATAGTCAGACATAAAAATCAACATTCTCGTTGTAAAATAAAGATAAAGATGTGATGGTCAGTGTTAAGTAAATTTTCTGGTGGAATTTCCTTACAAACTCAAACCAGGTTCTAAAGAGAAAATCCTGTAAATCCTGTTCACTCAAATACACACTCACACACCTGCACGCTGAGTTTTGTCTGGCGATATTGGCTCCAAAGGTTAAGTCATCAGTCATAGCATTTAATTATTAGCAGAGCAGGTGATGAATTCTGCAGCAGTCACTCTCCTTAAGGTGTGAGGGGAAAAGAAAGCATTCTATAGAAAGAGGGCTGAGGGAAGCTGAGAACCATGGGTAAACAAAAGGGTTGTCTCATGCAGACCAAGACCCTTTTTAGAGAGATGTTTTTTTGCTTTCTTTCTGTGGTGATCCCTTCTCCTCCATTTCTTCTTCATATTTATCTTCTTTTTCTCTGTTTTGTTCTCAATCGTTTCCTAACTCTCCTTTCACTTCTACCCCATATCCTCCCGCAACCACCTTCTCCTTCTTCATCATTATCTTTTCCTTCTTCTTCTTCTCCTCAACAGTGGTTTTAGGAAAGGCTATCAGAATAATTTGACAGGCCACTATTCTCTCCACTGTTCTTGCTCTGAGTTTTTATCACATTGTATGTCAGCTAGCTTCAGTGACTGCCACTGATATCGACGCTGCTACATGTTAGCCCAAAGCTTCAGCTACTAATGAGACATTTAGGCGGAAACAGCACAGACACAGTCAAAGAATACAAAGGAAAAAAAAAGAGAAAAGTCTGGGATTTGCGTCTGATGGGAGTAACTCTGCTTCATTACCTTCTGTTCTCCGCAGCTCTTTTGTCTCTCCCTTCATTGCCTCCCTTGTTTCCTCCCTCCCCCATCTGGTATCGCTTGTCTTCAAATCACAGCCCTCCATACCTCATTTTTCATCTGTTTCTCAGTTCCCAACGCTCTCTCACTGTTTTCACTTTCTCTGCCTAAATCTTTGATTCACTGTCAAATCTGGAGCATCAGACTGGAGCTCGCGGTGCCCTTATAGCCTCATGGGCTTTTTACTGTGTTGATTCTGAGTCATTAAGTTTCCACTGTCTACCTGGCAAAGTTTATTGCTAACCTGATTTTAGAGGTTAGAATTAAAATGTGCCAACTTTGTTAAATAAGCCCGAGAAGTTTATTCCTCCTTTGGTGAACCAGGTAACAGAGGCTAAGAGTTGTTTTAAGGTTGTTTGGAACCACATGTTCTAATGGTTAAAGCCTGTTTTTATAAGATGAAGAAATGGATAAATGACATGTGGAGGTATGTGAGATGCATGGGAGTGCTTTGTGTTAGCAGTGGTTTTTAGACATTTAGTTTTTGTAATTTTGCTCCTTAAGTTACTTATAGTCCAAGCTATGTTATATATATGTCTTATGTAGTTTCAAAGGCAGATACACTTTGCAACAGGAGGCTAGAGATGAGTGAAAGTCTTAGTCAATCACATGGCCACGTATTGATTCACCATCCCAGTGATTAATCGCCTGCTCTCCTAAGAACACATTCATGTTGTTTTGCATGAGTGTAACTGCCTTTTTCTGTGTACACATACAGTACCTTGATTGTAATGACAGATTGGACAAAAGACTCACCACCGCCACGTAGGCTGTCTGGGTGTTTTTATAGCCGTAGAACGGAGGCTGCCAGACTCACATTAACACCTTGATATACTATCCCTGATCTGCCACTCCCTGCATGACGAAGTGGGAATCGGAAAATTACTCTGCCCCTGCAGGCTGCTGACATCACTGACCAAATCCCAATTCAATTTTCATCTCCTTCCAAAGAGGAATTCACAGACTGTAACACGTATATTTTTCCCTGATACTCTAATTAAATCGTGGACATTTAGCCAAACGTTAAAAAAAAGAAAAATCTTTAAACTCTTTGTAAAAAATAGAGTGAAAATCTAATATCACTTATTTAGTATAGACCCATCTCTAGTTACCTCAGTTAGTTATAACAAATGAGGTTAAACACTGAGCTGCCCTTAAGGTTCTTTAAATTTTACTTTGGTGAGGTTTTGAATTTTTTTTGTTAGGTCCTGCTCCTAATGGTGATGATATTAAACAGAACACAGCTGTACTGCAGCTGTGTGTTCTATTTAGGACAGCACAAAACATTGTTTTTTATTTTCTCTTTTTAGCTGTCGTTACTCTGATCTCAAACCTGTCTGGCCAACATTTGTCAATATTTCACTTTTTCTGTTTTCACTTCTCTCCTGTTGAATATTCCTTGTGGTTGATCCTGGGCATGTGGCCAATATTTATCCACCCAAATACATCTCTCTTTCCCAATATTCTATTTATCTGCCACTCCTCTCCTCTGCTGTGATCTCTCTCCTCTCCTTTTATCTCTTGCACCCACTTTACCCCTGTCCTCCCCTCATGCCCTGAAGATCTGACCCCGTATGCCCATGACCAGTTCCTAAGTTATGTCTTCTATCCCTACTTTTCTGTCTTAGCTCCTTCCTCCCCTGGTGTCGACTCCGCCCCCTTACAGCGCACAGCTAGTCACAGCACTGGGTCTGGAAACTACAGCCGTGGAGGGACCAACAACTATGCCACAGTGGGACCGGGCTACACCTCAAGCGGAGGTGGCGGAGACATGTACGGTTCCGATCCTTATGTGGCCGACCCTTACCGCACCTTGCAGTACTGCCCCTCGGTGGTTGAATCCCCCTACAGCAAGTCTGGGCCTGCCCTGCCACCAGAAGGCAGCCTGCAGCGTTCACCATCCATCGACTCTATCCAGAAGGACCCGAGGTAGGAAGAAGATGTGAAGTGCGTGAGAATGTGTGAACTGTGTGAACTGTTGTGTAGCACAGAGATGATTTGTGAAAACATCACATTGCATTACAAGAAACTATTGAAACTATACATTTGCAACAGTAGCTGTGACTTTAGGGGTTGACAATAGTCTGATTTACAGAAGCCCTGTAGATAAAGCTTGTTTTTCCCTCATCATTCGATACTTGGTCCTGGAAGTGAGTCATATCTGAAATAAACACAAGGTACGTCACACAATTTTAAAATGAAACTAAAATCAGGTTCAGTTAGTACTAAGTAGTTACTCCTCTGGTGGCGCATCTATAAATCATTGTTTTGTTTTTATTCAAAATGGCTTTTATTTCTTATTCTTAAATTAGATATTCGACCTAACAGCCGTGCTCGTGTGGAGAAAGATTTTGTATTCAGCGCAGCCTCTCTGCTCTCAGTATGTGTAGTTGTTTTTCCTCTTCATTCTTTCCAGTTTTCGTTTTACATAAAACAATTTCTTACAATCAATGTGACTTCAGTGACTGACATTGTCTTTTAGCTTGGTTTTCCTCTGCTCAGTGATAATGGTCTGACAAGAGCAGACGTGGCCAATCAAAAGACACTGACAGTGAGTGCAAAAAAGACCAGCGTTTAGAGCAGAGAGTCAAGGATAGACACTAATGGCATTTTTGATTGTTTTACAGTGGTTCCCTCTTACCAAAAGCGGCAACAGGCCCAGAATAATCAGAATATTTCCCTGACGTTTCATTGACCAGGCTGACACTACGCCCATTGTCAACTGTCATGCATAAACACAGCGACAGGGCTATCAGATAAAGTTAGGTGTCAGTCCATCTTCCTAAGAAGTTGGCCACACAGTGGCAGTACTGCAAGAAGGATCAGGTTGGCTGATTTGATCGCAGTGTTTCTAAATGTTTTCTTCATGCTCACCTCTTTAACTATTTTTTGACGTGACTTCAGCTCCTTCCTGAATTAAAAAAACACATATAGAGGATAACATGAATTGTATGACTGGGGTCTGCCCTGCCCTCACTCGACCCCCCTGCGACGATGAAGGAATGAAGCAATGGAAGTGGAAAAAATTAACATATGAATAAATCTTGTAAAATCCTAAAGTTTGACAAATTAACAAAGGTATTCAACTCATATGGTCAGAAAAATCACTCTGGTGAGTGAGACTACTGCCTGCACTGAGTAAACTGTATCACTATAACAAGCAGAATTTAAAAAGAATACTTTTCATTCAATATTAATTTCCAATTGTCAACACTCTATGTAACTAGTTTTCCAGCCATGCAGAAATGGATCCAACAGTTGGCTGCTTCAGTTATTTCTGTAATGTTGTTATACATACAGAAATAATAGTCAAATTCAATTCATTTTAAATGTTTGTTGGATTGATGTCACACATAAAACAGTCGCGAAATGTAATGTGTTAGTGTTTACATCAGTCCCCTTCACATTGCAGCCCCCTGCAGGGCCAGTGTTGTCACCTCACTGCAATAAATAAAGGCACTGCACTTTTATACAGTGCAAGTGATGGTCGTAACGCAGCCTCATGGCTGTGATGAGTGTTCCCGCACTGCCAAAGTTCTGTCACACAAGTTGCCCACCTGTTGCTTTAGAAGCTCCATTTCACCTCTTTGAACGTCAGCCCAATGTCCCACTGGGCTGTGATCACTACTAAAGGGAGAGCGACGGGAAGACGCTGTCAGTCACAGTGAGGGGACGCTAGAGAAATATGAACAAGTCGAGAGATTAAAGCCATCAGAGAGAAAAGGGAATGATGTATAAGAAAACAAGGGGCGTTTTTAAAAGGTCTACTGACATCTACTGTCTACCAGGAGGTAAACCATATTTGTAAGAGTCTAATGGATTCTTAAGGTCTACTAAAGAACACATTATTTTACCAAGGTATTTTTATCCAGATGTGTAAATGAGTTTTCTATATGAAGTGTGTTTTCACTTGGTCAATACTATTACTGACTTCCTTCTATTTTTATTGTCCAAACAATAAAAAGACTCAGGCTTTATTGGACCGTGTGGAAATTGCATTCAGAAGTGCACACACAGACATATACAGATAATAAAAATGACTTCACCTTCAGGAAGTGTTTCTGATTGACCACTTGCAGCCATTAAACTCTCCACTCCTATGCACAAGTGTACATAAGAGACTTTTTTTTTATTTTACTGCGCAACTGTAGAAATTGCCTTGTGCTACAGATGAGTTGAAACTCATTTCAGAATCACTTAAACAACTGCATATAATTTGTTTCCATCTTAGTAGTTTTCTTTAGCATAACAACTGAATGCAGATCATCAATTTTAACATTTGTCATTTAGGGTAGAGAATGTGAAGTTCTTGACTTTTTATTCCTTCTGTGCAGTGACTGTGAGCATGAGTGTGTTGTCACATTCATTACTTGGAATTGTGAATCAATATCAATGACAGATCAGTGGTTATTACTGTATATGGATGTTTTAGTGAAGGCTCCATTGTGGTGGGGGTTTTATATAAAAACATAGAGTACATTTTATTTGTGTCTTTATCATTCAAAGACAACCCACAGCTTTCTAGCCCACACCTTCCAGGAAACTTCTTAATGCAGTTAAGTCATATTTGTTTCTTCTTAAAATAATTATAATCCTATAATTAAATTCCATTTTTGATTTTGTCTTTGGCAGTCGTGACTGATCTGACCTGATCACGACTGTCACTGATATCAGAGAATCAGGGCTCTGCATTACATTTCTTTCTGCCACAAGGTTAAATAGCTCCCTACTCAAACTTGACTCTCTGTGTGGCAGTAATTGGATCTAGCTGAGCTAACATGAAGTGCTAAATGAGTTAGCAGCTATTAAAGACAGGGAACACTGAGTAAGGCCATAGGTTAGATTCTACCTCTCTCATTCTCTCTCTCCCTCTCTCTCTCTCTCTCTCTCAACAATACTTCCTGTACCACAGTTGTTCTCACACAATATATTATAATTCCTTGAGTGACTTCCTTGAGATGCTACATACTAATTTATATACATAACGCTTGTGTTTGTTAGCTTATAGGTTGGAACACCATATGTTATAGAAAAAATCTGCGACGATCAGCCATGTACTGTATATGCATGTGGTGGAGCAGATGTGGGTCTCAAATTTGTGTGATTTCAAGGCTGCATGTGTGAATGAAAGGCAGTGGGCTAGAGACAGTGTTCACACAGATGTGTGGCTGACATTTATAGTATGTGATAGCACAAGGCTGATGCCATGCACTCCCATTTGTCAATCAGTGACATGCACTTGTGTGAGTGTCTATGCATGTGCACGTATCGGCGTGCACATGCGTGCATGCGTTTGTGTGTGTGACTGCTATTGTCAGCAGGTTAGCTTTTGCTTTGTTTATTCATGGGATTCAGAGTGCACTTATTTCCTACTGCGTTGGACTGTTTTTACAAACAGTTTTTGTATCAATTTATTCGTGGTGCATACAGTGAGGCCTTGAGTGTGTTTGAATGCGTGAGTGAAAACATTTGCGGACACGTGCACATGTGTAGGTGTGGAGAATGTGGTTATATTTACAACATTATGGCCTAGGGAATTTGAACGTTTCAGCACCAAGGACAGAGACACTGCAATGATGTATGGAGTTCACTGTAAATGGCTCTAAAATCATAGGATCTGCAACTTTTCTTATTGAATGACTACATTTTACTGATCTTCTTGATGTAATTAAACAAGTTAAGTTTGCGGGTTAGAAAACTTTGATAAAACATATTTTTAAAAGCTTGCTTGTTTAAATATTGACCTTTCATCTTGGAATGGGCAGTTAGGTAAAGGCTGGGATTTTGTTTTGCTCTTCGACTCGTGTGTTCTTCACTGAATAGAAGAAATGAAAGGAAAAATGAGTTGGCAATGAAATGAAGATGATAAGGAAGATAAATGAACAGGTTAGTGACTTGGTGACTCAGAGAGCCAGAGCAGCAGAGCCGAACAGCACGGTTGGGATAGGCACAGTTATGGAGTGGGCAAGGGATTAAAAAAAAGAAAAGAAAAAGGAACACAGGAAGAGAAAGAAAGAAAGAGAAGAGAGGACACACTCTATTGGCTCTCAGCACGGCCCAGGGGTAATTTCCTCTCCACATGAGAAATGCATGCTGGGATACGGAATCACCTCCAAGGGAGGGTAATGATGCATTGCCAGAGCCTTGGCCCTGAGGCACAGCTGTGTGTGCATGTGTGTGTGCACACTGGCCATCAACCTGCCTGTTCTGAGTAAATTGCCCATTGTGGTTATTTTCCTTTTCTGCGGTGTCCTATCTGTTTGTGAATATGTGTTTGTGTGTGTGACCTTGGGATGCTAACAGCGCTCATGTGTGTTGAATTCTCACTCTGTAGCCTGACAACAAAAGGACTGATCAAAGGGAAACAGGCAGATAATTGTGATTCAGCTAAGGTTTTATATAATGAGGAAAACAATATAGAGAACAGAATTGCAGACTGACAACAGTCTGCCTGCAAAATAATTGGTGTTTAGGAAATATACTGTTGGTGTTGTTGTTTATGTGTGAAGGTTTGTTAGTGCGTGACTTCAGGAGGTGCAGTCTAAAAAATCTACGATCATTTTCATCTGATTAGCCTGTTGTTATCTTTTGTGATTATTGCTTCCAGTAATTATTTCACTGATTAACATTCATCAAACCTTATAAAATGCATTTACACTTAACTTCTTACATTGTGCAAAATCTCAATATTTACCACTGGGAAAACTATGGAATGCAGCTGAAAATGGCAAACATTCTGTATGATGCAGCTTTTGCCTCCGTCCCACCACCTCTGTGCTTCACCATCTCCTCAAACAGGCTGCATTTCAGAGGGATTATGGGAAAATGTCACACCAGCACAATTACAGTATATCTTATTTCCTCCCTCTGAGCCTCACTTCAACTTAACTCCCTGTGGCTTGTGCCTGACATCAGCTCACCTACGCTCA